TTTTATTTCATTAAATTTTGTTGTATTTATCCGCGTATTAACGCGGGTCCTATTCTAGTATATACTAAAACAGGATCTGCGTATCAACACGAATAAACATATTATATAAAATTTTCCATTTCAATTCCAATTATAAAACTAAGGTCTCTTCTTCTATGCAATTTTAGATTTTCCATTTTTTTATATTTTTCCTCAGAGCCAACCAACAATGAAGCCAACGTGTTTATTTGGTTTTGTGCAAATTTCTTTTTTTTTCGTTTTGTGCAACGAAGCCAATGTGTGCGTGTGTGCGAAGGACATATTTGTCCGACCAACCTCTAACATAGTTATTCACTTAATTCATTTATTTCATGACTAGTTTCTTTATTATAAATCATAAATTGGTTATTAACCAAATTAGCCCTATTTTAAAAAGAAAGGATCTATCTTTGATTCTTCACAATCGTCTTTGATTCATATAGTTGGTTCGGATCTGTTTAGAGATTAGATGATTCATCTACTTGTTTTTGGATCTGATGTGTTGGTTGTTTCTTATCTAGGTTTTACCGGTCTGATCAGTAGATCATGCGATAGGTTTCTCACGCACCCGGATCTCATGCGCCTGTTTCAACTCCACCATAGCTTACCCCATCTCGAGGGAGAACCGGAGCATTATACGGATGGTCTGTATCTGAAGACAGAATACGACAGCGGGAAATGGTTCAAGGATGAGATGCTTTGGGATGGTCCAAATCAACACAACCCTATGGTAATAGTCCTTTGTTGCTCTTTAGATTTTAAGTTTTGCTTATGGATTATCTAGTTGCTCTTTAGATTTTGAGTTTTGCTTATGGATTGTCTTATTTTCGTGCAGCCACATATTCCGATCATCAACATCACTGAAGCTCAATGTAATTTCGGTGAAAGGATCTTCATGAAGAGGGTTTATAGGTGTTCTCTTCACGCTGGAAAAATTATCATCCATTACCTAGTCCTTAAAAATGATGGATCTGATGTGGAGGATAGATCGGAAGACGAACCTGATCCATATCCGGAATACAGACAACCTTTAATCGAACTTGTCCAAAAACCGTACATTCCTCAGTGTATCTTCACTGAACTGTCGGAAGAGGGTTCAGTGAAGCCAACATGTTAATTTAGTTTTGTGCAAGTTTCTTTTTCTTTCGTTTTGTGCAACGAATCCAATGTGTATATATGTGCGAATGACATATTTGTCCGACCAACCTCCCAACAGTTCAGTGAAGCTAACATGTTAATTTAGTTTTGTGCAAGTTTCTTTTTCTTTCATTTTGTGCAACGAAGCCAATGTGTATATATGTGCGAATGACATATTTGTGTGACCAACCTCTAACATAATTATACACTTAATTCATTTATTTCATGGCTAGTTTTTTTTATTATAAATCATAAATGAGTTATTAACCAAATAAGCCCTATTTAAAAAAGAAAGGATCACAACATTTATTTTACATTTTATTTCACACCAACAGCCAAAAGTATAAATCCAAACCAATCACCCTCAAAATTCATTAGTACTTTGGTAACGATCGCAAAATGAGAGAAAAGTAGTTTGAGTAATCCAATATTAAGTTACTATTCCGACCGGCCCAAAACGAACCAGGCCCAATAATAACTTGGCCGGTTAATGACAGTACCCGCAGTGCCCTAGGGTTTCTGTGTTTATGTCATCTTAAAAACGCCGCAGCGCAAATAGCTTTGA